TCATTTTGTGATTACTAAGCCCAGGCAAATGAATTCTGTTCACTCTCTTTTTTTTAAGATGATGAAGGACAAATAGTTGAATTTTCTCACAAATATATTAGTACACCTTACGTTTCCATTGAATTTCACATAGCATTGCTCGCCAACAAATATTCTCATCCAGGCTGGAGTGAATTGCTATTTCGTCCTCTCCTTTCCTGGTCTCATCAAAACCCTCAACGAGACCCGAACCATGACAGTGCAGCATATATTATCGACATGTTAGCCATTACGCCACATTGGCCAAGTTCCCTTTGGTCACAGGGCAGATGTGCATTTTAAGGAAGACCAGACATTTTCAAATATCGCATTCAACTACTAGATCTTCATGATCCTTAACTAAATAGAGTTAACAAATATCATATATATAATTTACTGGTAGTCTCGAAAGCCTACTTTCCAAAGAAAAATAAGCCCAGGCAGCTTAACAGTCCTTCTGTAATCAGTAGATCCATTGGCCTGCGTTTGACTAACTGCCAATCTCTTCAAATCTGGATACCTAACCAGAAAGAGCCTTAAAACAATTTTTAATTATTAAGGTCACAAACTCCCAAATAAAACGCCCTCCTTTTTACTACCCCAACCAGGTTCGTCTTAGATTCTCGCTCGGCATCTACTCAGCTGAGGCTGTCCGGCTTCATGTGATCCCTCTGGCCCCGCCAACTTCAAGCGAGCCATTTGGCGTAGCCGACTTGACTGGCAGTCTTGAAGTCCAGCTCGACAGGCTTACCAACAATCAGTCAGTTACCATGGGTTGGCAGGTTATTCCTTTCAAAGCCGAGCTGATGCCACTCTGCTGTTCCATTTCAGACAAGGACTCGTCGACTCCTCATTCCACATTCAAGACAGGCGCAAACGAAGCAGAAATGACGTTGTCACAAAATCATATCCCCTCGGCTGACCTGTTGGAGAACCTACTTTCTCACACGTTGGGAATAGTCGGGAAGAAACGATTTACTGCATATCGCGATTGTTTACATCTTAGTTTGCCCTCTTTGCGAGATGGAGATTCTGGCCGCGAAGTAAGCGAGCTTTTCATATCGAATCCGCCGAACTCAATCCTGGTTTCAGAAGAGCAGGTTTGTCTAGGTGGGTTTCCAAGCCACTTAGCTGGCAGATATATAAACAGGCAAACAATTTAATATATTTTTCGTTTATAAGTGACTTTTCGAGACTACCAGTAGATCGTACATATAATTAATATTCACCATCTTTCGTTAAGGTGTTGATAGATTGGTATG